CAGACTCCTTTTTGCGAGTGCTGTGCAGGTTTTACAGTTTGTGTCTTTTCAAAAAGACAAGAATTAGTCAGCATTTTTTTCATAACATTGTTTGTTCTGGTTGTTCTCACTCCAATTCGATCAGATTATAAAAATACTGTTCACTCCTTAAGTTTGTTAACTGTCGTTCAGCATATTGCGCTACGTTTTTATCTATTAATAGTGCGCCTACCATGTGACAAATGAAACGGACTGAAACGAAACGAAATTGAATGACATCCTTCACGAAATGACATCCTTCATGAAATGACATCCTTCACGAAATGACATCCTTCACGAAATGACATCCTTCACGAAATGACATCCTTCACGAAATGACATCCTTCACAAAATGACATCCTTCACGAAATGACATCCTTCACGAAATGACATCCTTCACGAAATGACATCCTTCACGAAATGACATCCTTCACGAAATGACGTCCTTCACGAAATGACGTCCTTCACGAAATGACATCCTTCACGAAATGACATCGAAATGACCGTCATACTGATAGTTTCTTTGACAAATTGGTTCATTCCTCTGTATGCCTCAAACACCAACTTTCTTAAATTATGGTTTTTCTGCTGAAAACCCTTACTCATCACAACTGGAGGCTTTCGCAAGTTCTGTTATCCAAATATTAAAGTCCTGATGCGTTTCAGTTAAATATGTGGAGCGAGCTGACAAACGTTCCAATACTTCCCAAAACGTCCATGATTTACTTAACTTGTATTGCAATGCTACACGGTGAGCGCAGTGCAATTATCGCTATTTTTATATTATATTAAAGTCAATATTGTATGTAACACATCGGACAATACTAACCGAATCCCTCTTTTAGTGTTATAGAAATCATGCCTTTATCAAAGGACTTGTTGCACCCTACCGCAGAGGAAGAGAAAAGGTCCCACAAGCTCAAGAGATTGGTTCAGTCTCCCAACTCCTACTTCATGGATGTTAAATGCCCCGGATGTTACAAGGTTAGTTACCGGGTTATCATTTGCTAGATCATCTCCAGTTAGACTTTTTGGAACGGAATATGTGCATACCTACATTTAAATGCTCTTATCAGGAAAGGAATTATTCGACGTTTCGTCGTTTTAATGAACAGCATCATATTCATGATATCAAATTTATTTAAATGGATCGGGTAAATACAAATATTTCTAGTTCGACCCTCAAGACGACTTCACGTGATCATTTTCGTTTCGTCGTATGAAATTTTCTGATGTTTCCGGTTATTCTATTCTAATGTAGATTGTAGACAAGAGTTTGCACTTTATACTACCGTTTTAGCGGAGCTCTTATCACGCTCCAAATTTTAGATAAACTGCTTTTATGGCTGACATTATGAACGACATTGCCGGTCCGATTATCCGCATCAATCCCGAGCTGAGGTCGTTACTCGCGATTGCAGATTACCGAAGAAGATTCGATCCAAATTTCACGCCTGGACACTTTAAGGGTTCCCGTTTTACGATATCCAAAGCCGCTTTTAGGGAGCAGCGTATCATAAGGGCCGGAGTCATTCACATATTGCGTAATCAGTTGTTACTTAATCACTATTTGGCAAATTTGTACCCCCTTCTGTTATCAGTTTTACAATTAATTAATTAATTAAATGATAAGTTTTAGTAGCTAGAGCTGTAGTGTTAAAATAACACTTGTGCAATCATCAGTGATTTCGTAATACGTGAACGACCGAGATCGGGACCCTAACATCATTTTTTACAATACTTATAGTTGGGTCTAGATATGGTTCTAGAATCTAGATGTCAAAATTTTGTCCTACATGTTATACATCTGTTCCGGATTTCTAAGGTCTTTTATGATTACATAGGTTGACGGAAATGATCGAGTGTAACTTGTCGTAAAATTATTATTTTGTATTAATTTTCTTCGTTAGGAAATTAGCTTCACAACTGTCCGAAACCCTATACTACTTATGAGACGCAGGTATATAATAAAATATAATTAAAACAGCAATTACAATACAGTATGAAATCATCCTTTTAAAATGTGGTATAATCACCTGCTGGCACATTTTCAGTGCTTGTTATGTTTAGTCACGTGACTTGCAAACATGAGATAATCTCTTTTATTTTACAATCTTCCGATAACAGTTAGATCTAACAAATGACCACATTACATCAGCCATGTTCAGTCACTATGTTCATTGATCATGAAAAGGTGTTGTCCCTAGTTGCCCCTAGCCAAATAGCAAATATTTATGTTCAGCAAATGATTTGTTGTCAATTTACCCTAATTTACCCATTATAATACAGTGAAACCTTGATAATAATTGTATACATACTTAAGGTGGAAGTTAAATAACATGTTAAACCGGGGTATGAGTCCCAGGTGGGTCACATGGTTCCTCCCGCACAGTACTGATTCAGGGCCTCAGGGTTCCCAATCAGGGCCTCAGGGTTCCCAATCAGGGCCTCAGGGTTAAGTTGACAAAGACTTTAGTAGGGTTTAGTAAGGGGTAGATAGGGTAAGCAATGATCTTGGCAAGCTTGATATCCCGTTCAAAGCCGTATTGTGACAAATTAAGTGATATTGAATTGAGAAATATTTTCAAAAAGTTTTGGGAAGAGCGTAATTGGAGTTTTACTGTACCCTTCAGCTACTATCCACAATCTGACCGAGACTGGCAGTTGTCCTAACCCACACTACCAATAAGTTTATTATGAACTAGGTCACATACGTATACTGGGAAACTTGATAAGTAAAGGAGAGCCAAGATAAATGTTTAGTGTATACCTTTATATGTATTATGTACCCTTATTCAACGTATTGAACTCTGCGTGTAGTTCCACAACTAATATAAGTGTAGAAAAAGAGTGGATATTATTCACTAACTAAGTTTCTTGATAAAATGAACTAGACAGACTCGCCATCTCAAAGAGTTATTCGAGAGCTGAGATAATTGCTTTGTGTGTGCTAACTGTATGTTATGTGTGTAATATGAGAACGGAGTGTAGTTCATAATGATTGGATTTCAATACCTTAAATATCTCTCCTTTTCGCAAAAACAGTCAAAAACATGTATCAGTGAGCAGTAATAACGTGAGAGTGGACAGTTCAAATTTGAGCTCTATACATTGTACACTCGATCTTTATTAATATCCAATTTGTACACTGTTTCCTAACGCAATTATGTATACTTACTTACCGATGATTTTTTACAGATTACGACAGTTTTCTCCCACGCCCAGACAGTAGTGCTTTGCAGCGCATGCAACACCATTCTCTGCCAATCAACGGGAGGAAAAGCCAGAATCACCGAGGGATGTTCTTTTAGAAGGAAAAACTAAGGAGTTTATTTTATTTTTATTGTAAAGTAAAATCTACTCGTTTTATTTATTTCTTATTCAAGCAGAAATTGTTTAAAACATTACTAGGACGACTCTTACTTCTTAGCAACCATAGATTGATGTCACTTAAAAGTCGCATGTTTAGGAGCTAACAATATTGAAAATGATCGAAATGTGACCCTTCAAATTATGATAACGTTAGCTTGGGTAAAAAACATATTTTCATTTTTACAAAGTAGTCGTAGACTACGCCGTCGGCGTCATGTGAAAAACCGCTCTTACTAGCAAACTGAGGCTGTATAAAGTCTTTGTTGCCACAACTCAAAGAAGTTTTTAGCGCGCCGCGCACTATCGCGCGCCTCTATTCAATTCCATGCATTACTGCTGATGTTTCCCGGTCGAACTAACACCCTTTGGGTCGTCCCTATCGCTCCTTGTAGCCCTACATTAATTATTAGGGAGAAGGAGTTTTTTAAAGCTAAATGGTCAGTCGCGATTTCTAAAAGACAGTTCTCTGTAGATGGAAGTATGGCCGTAAGCTATTGTTGATGCTCAAAATGTGAACAATCTGGCCACCGTCGGCGATGTGATACAAAGAGCGCGTTGTTGAAACAAGTACGGCGAATGATATAAAAGGATAATAAAAAGGGTGTCCTCGGGGCCATTACTTAGGACGTTCGGCAAATAGGGAGGGGGTGGTTTTGAATTTTTGGACAAGGGGGGTGGTGGTTTCTGAAAATCCGGAAATTTTGGCAGAATTAACGAAAAAGTCTCATTCATTTCAACTCTTTGACACTAATTACTCTGTAAGTTTAGATCCCTGTATTTTGAACGAGAAGTCGATCCCCAGAGCAACTCATGAGAGCCGAGACACAACTCGAATATCCTCCTATGTCTTACTATATACTGCCTTTTATACTTCATGTCGCCAGTCAGTCTGGCGACAATCCGGACGTCCGGGGGTTTACTGTACTTATCTTCATGGAGCGAGTCATACTTGCTGGTTATTTATATTATCATTATTTGCTTTGTTAGGGAGCGATGAATGAAAGTAGGTCTTCTCCAAATAGCGAGGATAATACCTTTCAAAACGGCTACTGAAAACTTTTGTTCGACTGGTTTCGGGACTGGTGACACTGCCTTTTATCTCGCCGGAGCTACAATTAGGATTTAGGATATTAATCATGGTCAACTTTTGTTGAATTACATTTTGGTGGAAATATCTGCTTTCGTGCTCTGACGCTGTATTTGGATCACCAGTAAAAGATATATAATCGACGTCGGTAGAATTAACGTCTGCAATCTGTGTGTCCTGGTGACTGATTTAAAATCGTCCCTTCATGTTTGACACCCTCGGAAAACACAATAAGTCCAATCGTCGGGATCGAGCTATTAAACCTATTCGAATAAAACGAGTGAGGGGGTTTAACATTAAATAATAGCTGCAGACTTAATTCATAATTTATCGGCCCGCATCATGAGCAGGAGAAATTGAACAGCGCGCGTGCGCGGCATCAGTAACGACTTTTAGCGCACAATAAGTTGTCTTCACACACAGTTGTACTTGCGCCCCACGATTACTTCAGTAATATTTGTGACTGGGACATTACATAATCGTTGTTAGGCGGCTTCGTTCGAAAAACAAAGATAAACCAACCTTTCTGTACAAACAAATATAATGACAGTAGTGGAACACTATTTACAGGGCAAATATCATATCAATTGAGTAGTCTTATCAAGAAATTGGGACAGCATTTACTTTCAAATGTCATAGAAAATAACTACTAACTGTAACTATGGACAATTATTTTTACAAAGTTTAAAAAAAGGGAAATCAGATGTGTTGAAAGAAAAGTAAATGCTGTCTACATTTCTTGGCCACAAAAATCCCTGAAAACCAGCATCAGATACATGCGAGTGACGTTGAATCCTCGGTCGGCTCTCTAATCGTCAAGTTCGGAATCTGAGCTGAATTCTTCTTGTCGGAGGTTACGCTGGATTTGAACCATGGTTTTCTTCTCTTTGACGTCTTCAACAGGTGGCCGAGTCAAATCTCCTGAAAAAATTGAGTTATATTCCAGTTAACAGCGAGAATTACCTAATATATGCTGAGATGCCAGCATCAAGAGTAAGTTTGGCTAATCAAAATGCGGATGTACACAAATTTTAACAAATTTGGTCCCACACTAGCAAGTAATGAAAGGTCTAAATGCGCATTAGGGCTTGTGGTTACCTGAGTAGTTAATAACTTTGCTCTGAGCTATTCTCCATTCCAGAAGAGAGGTTGGGAAGTTGTCGCTGTTTCCCAGTTGTTCAAATCCCACTATTCTGAGAATAGAGGTAACCATCTAAATTAATGAGTTCATTGATGATTTGTCACACAGAAAGTGGCGAAGGGGTGAAGAATCATCATTAACATCATTATCATCATAATCGACTGTTTGAGGCTAAGTCTGCCTCCAAGTCGTTAACTAAAATCCAATAATATACACTAATAATAATATATTTATTTAAATAGTTATATTTTACAAGACTCATATTTACAAAAGATATCATGCAAGTGTAGATACATAAAATGTACAACTTCGTTAAACATGCAATAATTGCTCTTATAGCCAACGGTTGAAACAGTAGCTACACTCTTACACGCTGAAAACATGCTTGTCAATGCGAACATGAATTCAGAGAGGAATCATGATGAATATGAGTATTTCATTGTGCCCAGAAGGATTGTAGGATAGGAAGGATTGTAGGATAGGAAGGATTGTAGGATAGGAAGGATTGTAGGATAGGAAGGATTGTAGGATAGGAAGGATTGTAGGATAGGAAGGATTGTAGGATAGGAAGGATTGTAGGATAGGAAGGATTGTAGGATAGGAAGGATTGTAGGATAGGAAGGATTGTAGGATAGGAAGGATTGTAGGATAGGAAGGATTGTAGGATAGGAAGGATTGAAGGATAGGAAGGATTGTAGGATAGGAAGGATTGTAGGATAGGAAGGATTGAAGGATAGGAAGGATTGTAGGATAGGAAGGATTGTAGGATAGGAAGGATTGTAGGATATCGGAGGAATAATGATAGCAAAAATGGAGACACCTCTGCTAGCTAACAAAAATACGGAAATATTTGACCAACCTGTCGCAGACAACAGAGTCCTTGGTGATGAGGATTGTTGGCATAACCTTGATCTTCAGTCTCTCAGTCAGGAAGGGGGATTTCTCAGCGTTGAGACGGAGGAAACGTGTCTCAAAGTGTTTCTCACAGAGCTGGGTCAGATGCTTGTCTACAATCTTACACCTAAGGAATGTTTATTGTATCGGGTCACAGTGGGCCAGAATAGGGGGTCATACTGTAATAGACCATCAGTGATCAATTTAGATCATTTCAAACATTATTTTTTACTTCAAATCAGTTGAATATTGATTTTTAAACAAATTTTGGTCCTTTATAAGTCACAGAAAATTTTTTTTGGCTCATTCCATAGAAATTTTTCATGGCTGAAATGTAGGTCTAGAGGCATCCAATTCGAGTTTTTGCTAAAGATAATCGTTGAATGTGTTTAGAATGTTTTTAAATTGATAGTCCTGAGGCTATTGATCATTTTAGTTTTTGAATTATGAAAAAATATTGATCGTAGCCAAAGTTATGTCAAATTGAAACCAGAAAATTGGGCGCGAATGCCAGAAATTTCTGAAATTGTCAGAAAATACCAGTAAAATTCCAGAAAAATAGCATTTTTTGATGATATTTCCAAAACAGACCACTTTTTAGTACCCCATAACCTCATGGCACCAGGCCACGACATTGAGAGCCAAGAAAGATGTTCAAAATGGGGTTTGTTTGAGAAAAAATAATTTTTTTCAAATCTGCAAGGTAAGTCTAAATTCCATCAAATTTGGGCCTTTTTTCAACTTTGGAATTTTTTTCTGAAAAAGCCCCAAAAAACCCCAGAACAGTTCTTCTACCATTGTTTAGAGAATCGTCTGAGCTTTCAGATGGTACCATGCATTAGTGGGGCAACCTGAGGCAAATAAACTTTTTTTGGCCAAATTTAAGCAAAAATTAGTCAAAAATGAGGCCTAAAATTGAGTGCGTGCCAAAAATTCAGCTTAAATGATATGATTACATGGTTTTTTGCATGAATTGAAGCAAAGAGAGTACTTTCACCTTGATTAGGAGTCAATATACGGTGTTTTAAGCCAATTTTAGAAATATAATGATGGGTTATGCCAATTTTGACTGCCAAAAGTGAAAAAATTGGCAGTCAAAAAATTTCGTAAATTCGCCGACGCGCTGCGCGAAAGCCATTTAATTAATTCAATTATGGTTTTTTTGCATCTAATAGCCAAGATTTTTTACTGCAATATAATACTTACTTAATTCCTTTTAAAAGAACTCAATTTTTCGTCAATTACAGCATGGTGGCCCACTGTGCGGGTGAGGAAATATGAAAAATTTGAAATATGCTCTAAAGTTGGTAAATGTAATTATTGCTCTTTTCAGTTCAATTACTTCATCAAATGTAACAATATCTAAATTGATGCCTACAGGTTCGTAGACTCGAGAATTTAAGATATCACAGAAAGAATAGAAGGTGTTAAAGATGTTTATAAACGTTAAAGAATGAATCAGTATAATCCGAAAAAGGTTTACAGCTGGCGCAAAGCAAGGAATCAAACCTAAAGGAGGTGTCGATGTAGAAGAGACACACGACCCGGTCACTCTTCTTACTAATCTCAAAGAACTCCTTCTCGTTAGTAATAGTGTCGTATGTACCGTGTCCTAGGTTCTTGTACTCCTGCTTCTTCTCCTGGGTAATATCACTCAGTTAACAATACATATGGTTAATAGAATTAAGAATAAGTAATTAGTAGTCAATGACTAGACAGGGTTATTGAAAATTACAAAGAATAAAATTGCGTCTGGACTTGGGACCAGCTCATAGTACATTTCATTAATGCCCTCTGAAAACCATTCTGCTAGCTCAAATTATTCGTTATATAGTAGTGTTGAAAGTATTAATGTATAGGTTGCAAATTTTAAAATGAAACGAAGAAATTTAATAACCTGAGCTTTCGCCATCTGTTTAATCCTTCTCTCTCTGATAGCTTCCAAATCATCCTCGTCCATGTTGTCCAGTTTGTTCAACTCCTGAAAAATATCAGAAATCAGAAGAATGTTACACTGTTGAATGTTGATACACCGCTTTAGGTTTCTAACTTTCTAACAACCTAATATGGGCATTATGAATATATCAGAAATACTCAGTTCACTTCCCCAATTGTAAACTAAAACGAGCGTATCAGTGATGGTAATTGTTGTATCTTGTTATATTCCTATACTAATTGATATTATTTATTAGGGGTTTATGTCTGGAAAGTAAGTGTCTCTCTTGTTCTAGTGTATACACAGCAAATGGCGACGAGAAAAGAGCCCTGGTGCGGTGATGCCACATATCTCAACAGCTGGTTGGAACAATTGGAAGAAGCCTTCATCCTGGAGGACCTGGTAGGAGACGATAACGACAGAAAACGGGTAGCGTCACTGCTAACGTATGTGGGCAGATATGGCTACGAAATTCTTAAAAATCTCTTCTCTCCAGCCAAACCGAACACCAAAAAGTATGACGAACTGACCAAAGCTCTCAGAGATCACGTTAACCCTAAACCAGTTGTAATGGTCGAGCGGCATCGGTTTGCGCAACAGACGCAAGGAAGCAAAACGGTAACAGTGTTTCTGACTGACTTAAGAGCAGCGGCCGAACATTGCGAATTTGGGGACTTCTATGAGGACGCTCTTAGGGACAGGTTTATATGTGGGTTGGCGGACAGTTCGATAAGGAAAGCACTACTATCGGAGGAAAAGACATTGTCGCTGAAAGATGCGCATGCTAAAGCGTTAGCCAGAGAACAAGCAGCCTCGAACGCGAAAGTGGTTGTTGGTGGGGAGTCTGAAGCGAACTATGTACAGCAGACAACTCCTAAGTGGGGGAAGAAGGAACAGAATAACAGACATCAAAGGACTACAGCTCAGGAAGCAGAGACAATCTGCAAGTTTTGTAAGTTAAAAGTTCGAAATTCCAAATGTTCTGAGAACAATTGCAAAACGTCTTGTTTTCTGTGTGGTAAAGTAGGCCATACTAAACGATTCTGTTTTAAAAACCCTAGAAAGTCCAATAGCCATAATGTTGAGATTGATGATTCTTTAAATTCGAATAGCCATAATGTTGAGATTGATGATTATTTAACTTCGATGAACTATATTGACACGTTTTTAACTAGTACTGTGGATAGTAAACCCATGATTAATCTGTTTGTTAACTCCCATCCAGTAGAGATGGAGCTTGATACTGGGTCTCAGTTGACCATAATTAGTAAATCTGCACTGCAAGGGTGCAGAAATTTAGGTTTGAGACTGTCAGATCGGATCATAAGGGTCGCTAACGGCCAACTAGTTAAAAACATAATGCAGGGTTCAGTCGAAGTAAGTTGTAGTGGTTGTAAGTATTCTAACTTGACGGTCCATGTAGTCGACCAGCCATTTCCCTCTTTACTAGGAAGAGACTGGATACGCAGGTTATTCGGAGAGGATTGGCTTAGTAAGTTCGATGTAGAAGGTACAGGTTCAGGTATTAACATGGTGTACGATAGCTCTAAGTGTGCTAGCCAGATTAGTTCAGGGAAGGATCCTAATTCAGAACGGGAACCTGGTGACATGACGGATTTCCTTAACAGGGTCAGAGGGAATTCAGTCTTCGAAGACGGTGTTGGGCTGATCAAGGATTTCCGAGCTAACATACAGGTGAAAGAGGGCAGTATGCCAGTTTACAGGAAGTCAAGAACTGTAGCCTATGCTTTGCGAGAAAAGGTTGATAACGATCTCAGACGTCAAGTACGGGAAGGTTTGCTGGAGAACGTTGAACACAGCAAGTATGCAAGCCCGATCGTGATCGTAGACAAGCCAGACGGAGCAATACGGATTTGTGGGGATTACAAAGCTACTGTAAATCCTCAGCTGGACGCAAAGCAGTACCCGCTACCGACGGAGGAAGAGTGCTTTTACCCCATGAGAGGCGGGAAGAAGTTTACTAGAACAAGAGAGACACTTACTTTCCAGACATAAACCCCTAATAAATAATATCAATTAGTATAGGAATATAACAAGATACAACAGTAATAACTAAGTAACTGAATCCACGCATTAAAACAACAATGATCATCCGAGTAACTAAGTGCACTAACTAACTACGCAACTAACTAAGTGCACTAACTAAGTAACTAACTAAGTAACTAACTGAATAGCCAAGTAAGTAACTAAGTAACTAACTAACTAACTTAGTAACTAACTGAATAGCCAAGTGACTAACTAAGTAACTAACTAAGTAACTAAGTAACTAACTAAGTAACTAACTAACTAACTAACTAACTAACTAAGTGCACTAACCGCATCGACAGTAGCCTCCATAGCCTCCACGGCTCCCGCAACCATCTGGTTGATCATTTGTTGTTGTTGTGCCATGACTACAAACTTTACTACTGAGTCAATGGTATGAGTTAGAAATGTTGAATGTTGAAAAGGAAGGATGTTTCGTGGCTTTTACAATTTTAGATACACAATTTATTTTTGCAATGATTGCTTTTTTATGAGATGAGCAACTACATTAATTTTGACCAGGTCAAAGGAATTAGAAAACGCAATAAAAATGACATTAATGTTGTCTCACAAGCATGATTATCATTATATTCAAATTTTATTGATTATATATCAAATCAAAATTCAGGTCAAAATATAAAATATCATGGAATGTATTTCGATTTTGTTAATTGATACTTTAAAACAAGAGTAACAAAATAGTTTGCTGTAATCAGCACAATACTAGTTTAACAGCACATGACATATGATGAAAATATCATTACAGCTTACATGACACCACCAATTGCTTCATGATTTCACAAGATAAAAATCCGACTGCAACACAAATAAAAAGAATTCTTTAAAAGGATTGGCCATAAAATTTAAAATAAATTAGGATAAAAACGCTCTCGAGTTAAGGCCGGATGTAGCAATAATGCAGCTAATTTAAAAAACATCTCCATGTTTACGTATTGTATTCCTCAAATCACCCGATCATAGAACCTAATGTTAATTCATCAAACCTCACACACGTGAATTAATTCAATATCTCATAGGAGCATCTAACATACTCAACTGTGCATGAGTGTCACCAGGCATACTATACGGCAACATACCCGCAAATCGCATCACAACTCTCGCCTGATCTCTAATCTTCTGAGCTTGTTTGTTCTGCGCACCGTACAGACTATTGCCTGTTTTACTTGCATTTTTGTACAGTTTGTTAAGGATCGACATGACCATGATCAGAATGTCTGGAATGCATCTGCGTAACTCGTCGCTAAATGATTTGAATGCTTGGACTCTGTGGTTAATCGTGTCTTGCTGCAGAGGAATAATCTGCAGACGACCGATAACACTCAAGGCTTCCTCCAATTTGTCGTGGCCACAATGATACAGCTTGTGGAACTTATAAAGATCCAGAAGCAGCAGGAACTGCTTGCGGAGGCCTGTATTAGCGTTTGTAGTGCGCGGTTCCACATTAACCGCAATCTCGTTGATATGTTCGTGAGCTTTGTCGTTGGGCATCAGTTTTCGTGAAAGTTCCTCATTAAGAATCTCCAGGACCTTGTCATAGTTGTGGGCAAGTTCGTACAGTGTGACTGCTTCTTCCCAACATCCACGTTTTTCAGATGCTTCAGCAACAGTGGATATGATCTGGGAGTGATTAACGTTGAACCTATCAATTGCTCCCTTTGTTTTTCTACCCGATGAGTCAAGAGTTCCTAAGAGCGTCTGATACTCCTTACTTTCCTGGATCAACTCTGCAATGCAAACTGTAAACATGTCCTCACCATCTTCATTCTGGACTCCGTGTAAAATATAATAGTAGTTCAGAGCACTTGTAGGGTTGGAACACGCAAACTTTCTCGTGTACCCGATAATAATTCTGGTAAGGTTTAAACGTTTGTGAGGAGACGGATCATCTTCACATTCACTCAGGACTGGTTGGTGGGGTGTAACAGAGAGGTTTATCATCCCATTTGAGTGCAAAGCCAGAGCCAGATGAATTGCGTTAGCTCTGCTTTCCTCGTTTCGGTACAAAACTTCAATAGCAGATTCGTACAAGCCAGTTAAAAGTAAGACCAGAGCATACAAGTAAGGGCTCTGGAGAGAGTTAAAGTGATTCTCTCCATACTCCTGCAATACGTGCTCCTGAACTTCTGACAGTGAGATTTTGTCTTTATTAGATCGGAAGTCTCTGCCAGAGGAACTGCAAGTTAAAACGTGAACTAGCTTCAACCATAGGTAATCTTGGACTGTTGTCAAAATGTCCCCATGTGTTCTTTCCATATCACACCCACCTAGTATAGAGAAAACCAGCCTCTTGTAAGGATCATTGCAGTTGTTCACGCCACCATAATAAAGCTGCCTTACTTTATCCCTGGCTGCAGAGGGTGCGGAGATGTTGGCCCAGTTCTCTAGAATGGACTCCACCTCACCTTCGTATCCATCATCCTGAAGAGCTTGCAGTGCAGCGGCAGCAGATCCACAACGTAAACACACAAAGACAAGTCCCCAAACTGAGGATTCTTGAGTTCTGACAGAAAGATAACTGGATGCCAGCTCCATAACACCAGGCACTCCTCCCAGTTCAGCTTGTTCAAGGTGCCCACAAATAGTACTTTGAACGAACTGCTGAAATCCTTTCTCAAGATACTCAACCGACTTTTTGACCAGATCAAGAGAATTACTAGGTTTAAAACGGAGAAGAGGGTCATCAAAACAGCAACTGTTTACCAAGACTTCAACTAATTCCCAACAGTCTAGTACTGCTTTGCTCTCTCCAAACTCGTGAATTGTGCTCATAAACTCATCTATTAAAGGATATCTTCGACCAGCTATTACAGCATCGTTTCTCCTTCCTATGACATCAGCAAATGATATCTCATCTTGGGACATAACAGATTCTTTACCCCAGTAAGAATTATTGACAGACAATGGCTGGATATCAACTGGGACATGGAAGTCGCTCTTAGTAGAACCTAGTAGAGCTGACAAGACTCTCTCTTTCTCTTCCTCCCAAAATTGCTGCAAAGCCTGGCTGTGGCGCTGAGAAGCTGATTTCATGGTACTGTTTTTGCTCTCTATAATGGCGCCAAGAAGTGCTTGTTCCCGCTCTCCTTTTAAAAATCCTTGAATATCTGTAACAGGAGAAATTTCTGTAGGTTCAATTGTTGTTGATTTAAGGGTTTCCATTTTTTGAGCCATTGACGGTACATCAAAACCTCGAGATCCCAAAAGAATTGAAGCTTTTACATCAGCACTATCATCAGTTGCCATGGCAGCTGTCTTCATCCATAGTCGCTCACCAGCCTCTGCAATCTGTCCCAAGTTTCTGTGAACTCTAGGAAGAGAAGCAGCATTTGCAGTGTCAGCATTTAACTGCTCAGCACTTTGGAGAAGGTCAGCAAAGCTGATGGACATCCTGAGAGATATGTGAAATAAGTTTTACAGTAAAACACCAATGTTCTGCAGAATTTAAGGAAAGAAAAATGCTGCGGTAAATTGGGGTTTAGGATGAATCAGGGTTTTTAGTGTTCACATTATGTATAAATATGTAATAATAAAACAAATATTTAATAAAACAAATATTTATTTTTACGGCACAATCAAACAATATTAATAATAAATAAATCAGGGGAGGTTTGAAGAAGTTTCAAGTGCTGAAGGCCACTGCTTATCTTAGAATTAGACCGGGGGCGGTAAGTCAAGTTCTGTAAAACAAAGATTTTAGTATAACTTAAATTAACAGGCTAACACTAGAATCAAGACAACAGGCTAGGGTGCTTATTTTTCGGAGGAGGGTGGGGGGGGGGGGGGGGGGGTTGACAACATGCTGGGGGTTGCCAACATGCTGGGGGTTGCCAACATGCAACATTAAGAAACTGAATGGAAGGCTTCAAGCTTTTTTAATGGGGGAAACCAGTGCACCTCATCAGGGGACATTGTGGCCCGAACACACACCTCCACACCATCCGAAAATCCAGTCCTGTGCGCGGCGACAAAGAAGTGACTGTCTCGCACTTTCTTGGTCAATGTCCGGCTATTGCCCAAATAAGAGGGCAATATTTCCAGGAATATTACCTCTCCACTATTCTCAATTTCCCTTAATTGTGCCTGAGGAGCTGTACCAGACTGGCGGTGTGACATAGTGACTACGCATATATGTTGTCTTAGCTCATCGGGAATTTTGAAAACTGGAGCACTAGCAAAATTATGCGTTTTTGCTTTCTAGGGGGCAGGGGCGGGGCAACATGCAACGTTATGCCACAGGGATCATTGCTGAAAAGACTAGTAAGTAATCATCATTTCTGTACATGCTCTTAAAATTTAGTAGATAAAATCAAATAAAGTTGGTTGACATTAAGGGTTAAAAAACTACTAACAGACATGTAGTATATAGGAAGCAGGCCAGTGCTAGTGGCCGTGTACCTCAGTGGGTTTTCCCCTGATTGGGTTTGAGAAGGGCATTATTTGATTAGACTATTAGAGTAGGGCTATGTTTGTATAGCTGTCAAAACTTGGACTGCCGACTGAGTGGCCGTGGTTAGTTCCGATTGAGAGAAATTAAGGCCAGAGGGCCAGGGGGGGGGGGGGGGGGGGGGGGGGTAAATGGAACTTTTTTAGTTTTCACATATTTGATAATAGCTGCTGGAGACGAACAAGAAGAAAAAAACCGGATCAAAATCTGACCTTGCGCTCCTGAGATATCTCAGGATATATCCTCACTCCCTGATCTTGAGGTTTGGCACAGTTGTTCCTTGGGCTGTCACCCACAGTTCTATTGTACAGAATTTTGATATTTGTCTCTGTTCTCGAAATATGAGGTTAACTTTACCCCAAATTCGACAGTTTTCGACAGTTTTCCTTATATTTCAAGAACAGAAGCAAATATCAAAATTCTGTAGAATAGAATTGTGGGTGACAGCCCAAGGAACAACTGTGCCAAGTTTCAGCTTCTGGGTGTGGCCAGTATTCTCAACTAAGGGACTTTTAACTTTTTACAGTTTAAGTTAAAGTTTTACATGTGAACCTCAATATTTGGCACACGATATCTTTAAAACGCAAGGCCAGATTTCAGTCCGGTTTTTTCTTCTTGTTTGTCTCCAGCAGCTCTGATCAAACATGTGAAACTGGAAAATCGACTTTTACCCCCCCTCCCCTCTGGCCTTTTATTTATATTGTTTTGATACTATACTCACTGAAGTGGATAAGACTTGGAACGTTATTTGTCATTATTCCCAGACCGGCGATGTTATTGTCAATGTTGTCTCCATATGGTTTCCCAGAAAACCTATTTGAAGACCTGTTAAACGTGTCTGGGAAACGAGTTCACGAGCGAATCTCAGTGCCACTTTACAGCCGGACTGAGATCGAATCAGTCTTGCTAAACTCGAGGAATAAGCTGCATCGAATCGTTGTTTCTAACAATGCTGCAACCTCGATGCTTTCTTCTGTTAGAATGTATTGAAAGAGAATATATTACTTTGGAGAATGGCATAAGAATTTCAACTGACTTGGTAAAGAAATTCAAACAATATACACACAATATAACAATGACCCTATATGCTGTATAAAAATTCGATATAAAATTGAATTTAAACTGACTGGTTCTGTGCAAACACAGAAGGATACTTTTATACTTTTATTTTGAAAACCCAACACTTGAATTATTTTCTAGAAAAGTAGAATGCTTATTAAAGAATTATTATATGAGAATAAAGAAATTAAATCTAAAGTTAAATATGAAAAGAAAATAACATATAATTAGAAGACTTACAGTTAGTTACTGTAAAATCATGTTACTTAAATTGGTACAGTCGTACGAAAGATTAAATTAAAATAAATACCAAACATTTACTTTGCACCCCATTGGCCATTCCCTATGCGAGTTTTAAAGTTATGATCTTCCAAGACGCGCGCCAAGTTGGACATTTGCAACAAATATTTACTTACCTGACACGCCAATTATATTTGTATTACGCTTTACCTGGCATGTCAATCCCTGTGCGCGGCGCTCTTTTCAAGCCTCCAGCTGAGTTTAAGAAGAGCAAGTTAAGTTGACGGATGTTACTCGTCTTAATTTCCTCGAAGTAGCGCGGGCTGCTTTTTTCTCGAAATTTACTGGGCCGCGCTCAGCCGGTCATTCCGCCTAATCTCTTTAACAACATTAAAGCCTGGGGTCCTCAGGTAACTCGAAATGTAATGCCCCGATGGCTCATGGCAAGTGCTACGAAGTAGCGCGCGCCGGGCTAAATCATTAACAATGGTCAACAAGTTATGCAATTAACTAACTTAGTAAAAATATTATTTAAGTTGTAAGTATCAGTGTATTATTTGTTTAACGGGACAACGGGCGATATCCTTAAAATGTTTGTCTCAATTATTATAGACGGAGTCCAACTGGGCGCGCGTTTTTAAGTTATAAACCTACAATCACTTGTTCACTTTGTAATAATTTAAACTATACAACAAGCTAGGTAAATCAAAATATGCTTCATATCAAAGTTTTATAACATAATCGTTTGCAAACGTTAATTTAAAATTCATAAACGGACTTCAAAATGATTTGACGTGCGCGGCGACGGAAGATGTTTGTTTGAATTGTAAATATTTTAGCATAGCTGTTATATATTAGCTGTTATAGTGTTATATATTAGCGCGCGCTTTTTTTCGAAGGCCTAGGCGCAATGTGTTAATTGGAGTGTGGAAAACGTTGCCGCTTCAACGAGTGTAACTGGTAACGAGATTCATGCAGAACTGGAATAAATTTGAAAATATATACGTGTATATAAAAAACAGATTTATATTCGGACGCTGATTCTGAATCACCCCCATGGGCCATGCCATGACATAGAATTTTCATTCTTTTGTATATATTGTAGATTTTTAACCTACCAAGACGCCTCGCCGAGTTAAACTCGTCGCGACGGTATCTTGTACAGTAATACTAATGCCCACCCCCATGGGCCTTGTATCACGTTGCGACCCCCACGGTCGTTTCACTATGGTATCGTCCTGACGATACAGGGGGAGCCGCGCACTTCGTGCGCGGCGGGTCATACAACGTATGACAACATGGGCCATGCCATGACATAGAATGCCATGACATAGACTTTTCATTTTTTGTATATATTGTAGATTTTTAACCTACCAAGACGCCTCGCCGAGTTAAACTCGTCGCGACGGTATATATACGGTAGTATCTTGTACATGGTACAGTAATACTAATGCCAATGGTATAATATTTGGAACAAATATTTTAAGAGTATCACCCGGGCCGCGTTTTTTATCAAAACACTTATTTTACATCTGTGTATTCAGTACTCCAACAGCCACATTGTTACACAAGTGCAACCAGCCAATTACAGGAAGCCGAAGGATTTATTTGGCCAGTGACGGTTAAAGTAGTGTGTATTCTGTACCATACTTTCTTCGCCCAAGACTTTGCTGCAATGTGCAGCTCCTCATTTAACCCTCACACCCGATTTCTCGAGTATTCGGCTGAGTAGACCGGGGGGCTGCATAGACCACTCAGGATCCTTATATTAGCTGAACGTCAACGACGCTCACCCCACGACCAGGCAGACAGTGGGTTTCGAACTCACAACCTCACGATTTGCAAAGATGGCGTTCTAACCAACTGCGCTACCTGCAGCCATTAAACGTGCTCAAAATAACCACGTCCACAGCCTTATAGAAATTAGAAATTAGAAATTAGAAATTAGAAAGATCATTACAAAATTACATGTGTCAGATCCCAATCAGTTAAATGAAAGTTATTCAACCAAACAATAAAAAGAACATAATATCTTAAATAAATAATTAAAAGGTTTAAAAGTGTGCACGAAATAAGGATACTAAGTCATAGCTTACTTTTAGGAAATCTTTCACGAAATAGATTATAAACAAAATTTCTGGTCTCCAAAATGTAATCCTCATGAAATAATTTACTGAATTGACTATTTGTGAGTATGTTTGATGTTGTGAAGGTCTGTGCTGTTTCTTTGTCTGATCTCCTTGTAGACAGGACATTCTTTAAGCAAATGGACTTCGTCTTCTTTAATGATGTCACTAAACGGGAGCTCATTCAGGAGGTCTATGGTGATTCTGTCTGAGCTGCAGCAGAAGTGGCAAGCTCTGTAGAAGATGCTTGAGTTTTTCCAGCCATATCGCCCCGTCTCGATATTAAGTTTGTGGGAGCTTGTCCTCAGCCATGTGGTACATCGGGTTTTCTTGTGATTGGGTAGAGACAGGTATGGTTCTAATCCAAAGCTGCTTTTGACTTCGTTGTAGAATGTAAGCTTTTTGTTTTCAAGTCGAGCTTTTTCCCACTTTTCTTGGAACCAATTTCTCATTCTACTCCGAACGAGTTGGCTGTTCGGCATGGGAACATTCTTCGAGACAATTGTTCGTTTAATTGCTCCTGGGTCAAATGCGTCGGTCAGCGCTCTCGATGTTCGGAACCAGGTCAGCTCTAGGTTTCTTTGCTCTACAAAAGCATGGCGAACAATCTGTGGTGAGTTTTTTCTGTCAAGGAGGACGAGCCTGTTGTGGAAGTCAAGAAAGAGCTTACTCAGTTGTATTCCAAGGGGATATCTTCCTGTGTCTCCCCATATCGGGATATTTGAAGTTCTCTTGTTGACCCCAGTCGTCCATTTTAGCAGCGAGAGATGCATGCGCTCGATGCTGTCGTTCGCTAATTGACTGAGTGTGTCTTTGTCAGACTGTGTTTTCTTCTGGCAGATGTTGCTGAGAATGTTGGTATAGGGGAGCCACACCTGACTACCGTATGAGACGACAGGAAGTATAAGGGCATCGAAGAGTTTGAGCACAGCCTCTTTAGAAATTGAGGAGAGATCAACCGTCTTTTTCAGGGAGAAGTATGCTCGAAGTCCTTTGATCCTGAGCTGCTCTTGGTTAAGCTTCATACTGCCACATATTGTGAAATGAGTACCTAGGTAGCAGTAGCTTTTGACCGAGGGGATTACAATACTTCTGCCGTAGGTAAATGTTTTACTCTCGAGTAACTGCCTTCCTGAGGGATTGAAGATGATGACCGCAGTTTTCTTAATGTTAACAATCAATCCCCAGTTAGTGCAAAATATGTGGAGTTGGTCAATCATTAGCTGAAGACTGACCTTGTTAAGGGCTAGCAGAACCAGATCGTCCGCCCAAAGCAGGTGAGTAATCTGTTGGTTGTTGAGTTGGGGACTTTCCACTCCGGTTAGGGTGTTAATCTGGAGGGAGAGTTCGTAGATATAGCATTTGAAGAGTTCTGGGCTCAGGGGGTGGCCCTGTTCCGTTCCTGTATTAACGTCAAAACAAGCCGAGAGCTTTTTAACCATTTTAAGCCTTGCTTTTGAGTTTCTGTACATGTATTGGAGGCAATCAAAAAACCGCCCCTGCATACCAAGCTTATTTAATTTGTACAATAGTGCTTCTCTTGATACCGTGTCGAACGCTTTCTGAAAGTCTACAAAACAGCTGTAGATTCTTTTCCGTTGGACTTTTACATATTTTTCAATACAGGTGTTAAGTGTGAAAATATGATCAGAGGTTTGTGCCCCCTTGCAAAATCCTCTCTGGTTCTGTGATTCGGGGCAATGTACAGCTCTGAATTCGAGAAGTCGACTGAGCAAAATATTTGAAAATAACTTGCCCAGATTGCTGCCCACGGCGATTGCTCGATAGTTATCCGGGTCATGTGGACAACCTTTTTTGTGGAGAGGGGTAACGATAGTGGTGTTCCAAGGGTATACACCAAACTTAAGACATTCATTAAAGAGTTTTTGAATGAGTTTCACAACTTCGTCCGTCGATGTTTTGAGGAACTCATTAAGAATTAAGTCGATACCCGCTGCCTTTCCATTTTGTAAGCATTTGATGCCTTTCTTCATTTCTTCCTGGTCGATATCTCTGTTAAGGATTTCAGTGTCGATGATGATTTCACTTTCATCATTCAGTTTCACCAATTCGTTCGGTACTGTTTTGGTCTTGTACAGATCTTTAAAGAATTTATAAAAGTTCTCTATATCGAAGAGGTCAAGTACCGACTCTTCTTTATTGGCATCTTTAAGTTTATTGAAGTCCTTCCATGAGATATGCCCGTCTTGCAAGATGTCTTCATTGATTTCTTTGTAGAATAGGTATTTTTTATGCTTGATGAGACGCTTGTATTCCTTTTTCTTAGCGTAGTACTCAATGCGTATAACATCGTTTCTAGGCTGTTTTCCATATTTTCTGGCAAGCTTGTTGACTTCTCGTTTCAGTATAATGCATTTTGCATCGAACCAGCGATTTTTGGCCTGAATTCTTGGCTTGCGTTTCTTGGTGATATGATTTTTTCGGGGACCCTCTACATCTTTGTTGATGTCCACAAGGAGTCTGGTTAATCTAAGGTTAAGACTGTGGACGTCTTCTTCAGAATGACATACTTCGTCAACAAGGTCAGAGATAGTTTTAAGCGTACTTAGCTTAAGGAGCCTTGCTTTGTATTCTTTTGCTGATTGCTCACCATTCCACTGCACCTTTTCTTGTACATCATCGTAAAGGTTGAGAGCTGATTCTGAGTCTATTATTTTCTGAGTTGATTTCAAAGAGCACAGCAGCGGCCGATGGTCTGATAGGTCGGAGAGCTCAAGGACTTTGAAATGTTTGATTACATGTCGTGTGTCGTTTGATAATGCCATATAGTCCACAATACTGGTTCCATTGTATTGGTGTGACGTCGACTCGCCAAATATGTCACCTAGAGTGGATCCATTTAGGATAGACATATTACAGCTCTGAATTAAGTCTAGGAATTTTTTACCCCGGTCATTGATGACAGGGTCCCTGCTTGCTCGTTGTTTGTGGTAAGAAGGGTAGGACTCGATTTGACCTGTTGTGAATTCCTCATTGCAGGGTTGAACCGCTTCATCTGCGTTAAGGTTACCTGTTCTTGCGTTGAAGTCCCCAACTAGAAGTATCGCTTTGGTCTTAAGTGACGCAATGAATTCAAGAGTATGCCCCATTGTGTCTACATCCGAGCCCAAGGCGAGCTTTTTTATTTTGTAAGATGAGTTGGGAGGAGAGTCATACACATTTATAAGCATTAGGTCCTTGCTGAGCCCAGTAGCTGTAGTTGAGATATTTACAGCCAAGATGTCTTGTGATTCACACATAATAGGCCTCACAAATTCACTAATAGATCTGTGAACACCGATACAGAGACCGCCTGATCGTGAGTCAGACCTTAGTTTGTTAAAACATTTATACTGGGGAAGCTCGACATTCCCTTTTGTTTCTTGGAGGCAGAAAATTAAACCGCTGGTTAGAGTTCTGGTGAATTCATTTTGATCCGTTTTCTTCCCAAGGGTTTGGTGATTAATGTCGTGAATATTCCAGGAGAGGATCGACAAATCACAGTTTTTGTATTCTACCTCACTATGCCTTTTCTTGTGATCGTTATTCATGTAGTGAATCGTTCCGTAGGGTTCTGTTGTTTGTTTGTTTTGATGGTGTTTGGATTCCTACCGAGCGCTGCAGACTGTCTCTGAGACGTAGCCAAAGCCTAGATTGTCCACGTTCACTAAGTTGGATACTTGCTTTTCCATTGTCATTGATTTTTCTTTCTATGTATCCTCCTAGAGAGTCGTTGTTGGTTGTAAATAGGCGATCCTTGTACTTGTGGGAGGTTCTTTCGCAGGATATAAATTCCCTTAAGGTGTTGTTGATCTGCCGTAGTCTACTATTGGTTTCAGGGTATCCTGGTACTGGTATCATAAGCGAAACACATAGTTTGGTTGAGGTATTCTCTAGAACATTGTAAATAATCTTTTTAAAGTTATTTGTTATGGTGTTGCCTTCTGTATTACACAGCACGTCACCGAAACCAACGTGAATAACTACAGTTTCTGGTTTGACTGCCTTGATCCGTGAAATCAGATTTCCGTTCTTGATGGTAGATTCAGCAGATTTTTCTTTTAGACGGCTGATGTCAAAGACTCGTGAGAATTTGTCTTGCTCGAATTTGTCAAAGTAAGCATCATGCACAATGAGACATTTGTGTGTATTGAATTTTTTGCTTTGACTACTCTTTGGTCCTGTAAACGGAAGATTAGCTTTGCAGTTGGTTAGGATGTTTGTTTTCCTCAGCTGGTACTTTGTCTTAGGATTGGGAAGTAGATGTTTTCTCGAATCAGAGCTTGTTGACATACTCCAATCTGTCGAATCATCAGGTGGGGCGTCATTCTTTTCGTTTTCCTTAGTATTTGTGCTGTTCAGGATTATTTTCTCTGATGTGTTGGTAGTTATATGTCATTCATCATGGGGGAGTGATTCGGAATCAGCGTCCAAATTGCATTGGATAATACTGTCACTACTAAATCTTTTCAGATTTACAAAAATGTTGGCTATCGATTTAGCGGGAGCCGTTCTTGCATGTTTTGTAATTGTAAGCGATATTAACAAATACAGTGACAAGTGACAAGTGATAAAGTTTATAAATCGTCAGAAAACAATCGGTTAAAATTGTAATAGCTATTAGCAGCTATAACATTGTGCATCAAGTATCAGAATATTCATTAAAATTTGCTTCAGAAGTTAAAAGTTGTAGCAGCATATCATATTCATACACGATTCCTTGCCAACCAAACCTCGAGAAATTAAATTATAAATCTAAACCTAGAGTAAACAGTACTCTGTAAATTAAAAACAATTTATTCTAAATCTAAAATAAGATTGTACTCCGTAAATTAAAAATACATCCAAAATGGAATAAATGTAAATAAATGTGAAATAGAACAGCTGAATTTCTTGCAGTATCTCAGTTTCTGGCTTCTATTCTAATTTCCTTAATCGGTAGACTGGCAGTGCAGCTACATGTGTACTGCTACTTGAATCGCATTAAAAGCGAACCTCATAGTTCGTTATTCAGTTTGTTCGGTTTTTTTGCGGCATATAAACCAAAACAGCACTTAAATGGCAGTTTGTATAACCGTTTAATTCTCAGTGATTCTCCACAAAGAATCATTCATGGCGTCTTCCCTATCGGTAACATCGGCCCAAATCTGAGTTGACTTCTTTGGATTACGATTGATCGCCACCATGTACTTGCCCACGTGTCTGCCAGCAGCCTTCTTCAGTTGGTAAAGAGTTTCGCCGTCCTCTCTGACTGCCTCGATGTTCCAGCATTCGTCCTCATCACGGTTGTAGGGGGTTTTGTGAATCAAGACTCGGCCATCTCCTTCTGATGTTATTGAACCGTGCACTACCAACAAACGTCCCTCGTTTCTGCCTGTAAGAATTCATTATTATTATAAAAGTAAAACAGGTTCTTACCGACAAAAATGATTATTGAAAATACCTTAATGCGGTAAACTGTACCCTTGAAAAAGATTTTCCCAACATCTGTTGCATGCAGCTATATCTCTAATTTCGTTCAATTCATGCAAGTTGTCCATTTGCAAATTTCTACTACTTAAATCACTTCTTAAAACCGATAACAAGTTCATGCCTGTAAGGATAATGTTTTGAATTTTTGGTATAACATTTGTATTTGGAGATACTAAATCACTCACGGTTGAAACTCAGACAATTAAATTAATTACAAATTTATTACATTTATAATTGAGGATGTAAATTGTAAAAATGTCACATCGTAGTTTGAGAGTGAGATCTCTGATTAATCACGCTGTGATTACACAATACACACAGATCTGTGATTAGTCTACACATGCTCGTTTGATATTCATATTGTTTTTTCAATTTCATCGACATTATTGAAAGATTTAGAGTAAGTATAACTTATCTTACCAGAGATGCTCTCGATCTTGTAACAAATATTCTTCTTGTACATCGTCTTCAGGATCTTCCAGGACTCTCCCTCGTCACCGCCCTCAGAATTGTGAGTGTGTACGTATTCAGAATTCTTGTTCCTTTTTTCCGAATCAGCGGTCAGATACCACCCACTTGCGGGTCCATCCACTTTTTGTATGGTGTATGTAGAATCTTCAGACGGGATGAATTCTGAGGATTCTGAGGAGTGCGAATTGTTTATGATTGGTATGCTAATCATATGATAAATCGGAAGGGAATATGAAACAGACAGTTTTTCTGCAGCTATCAATACTGTTTATAAATAACACCGAATAACGGCTTTACTCAGTTAAAGTGAATAGAACAGTTATAATGTATAATTAATAATTGATACTTTTCAAGAGTTTTGATCCTTGTGCTACGTGTTCCAAACGTGCACTAGGGGGGATTTCAAACATCTACTAACTGAAAGTGAACAATATTATGAAAATCAAAGAATTTATTCATTTACCAGGATGACAGTCATCTTGTGACATTGATCCAGCTTCAGACGTATGTCCTTCTGGACATTCCTGACATTCTGGGGCCCATCTCTCATCTGACTTATACTCTCCCGCTTCACAAGGCACTGTAGGATAGAATTCAATGAATAAAGGGTATGTCACGATGTCTCCGTCTCGTTTCTCATCCTTGATGTGGCTGATAAGTGCTACTTTTTGTGGTGTAAGTTAAAATTAACCCCCACCTCCCCTCATCTCAAAGATATTTAATCACCCAACATTCTACAATGACGTGTCATTCTTATCTGACAGAACGTTGTAGCAACATCGGGATATTTGTTTAAAAGTTCAACTTGCCATCGGGCAGAAAGGAAGCGGGCGCTCGCCTCACTTCGAAGAAATTTAGACGAGTAACATCCGTCAATCATACGTTGTATACCCGGCCGCGCACGAGTTGCGCGGCTCCCCCTGTATCGTCGAAAGGTCTACAGTGAAGCGACAGTGGGGGTCACCAAGTGATACAAAATTAGTTAACAACATGCGTCCCGAATAAACTGCGACCATAGCACATTTGACATTGGAGCCTAGCGCGCACTTCTGAAAGACCATTTAGCTTCGAGCGCTTACTAAAAATTATTTAGGTACACTTCGCTGTTGTTTACTGATTTCCCCAAATATTTAGTGTTTGTATGCAGTGTTTAGCTGCACTGATGAACTAAGGAACAAAATGGCTCTACCACCAAGAAGGAGGAGTTGGGTATACAGTTACGAATGGAAATGGCAGACCGAGAGTACAATTTCTCATGTAGAGCCACAAAACCCCTTAAAGAAGCTATTCTCAAGCAGATAGACAACAACCAGAGGACTGGCGCCACAGTAAAGAGTGAAAACCTGAGATAACGAATTGAACGAAATCTCTTTTTATCGACAAAAACAAGCAAAATACGCCAAGGAGCCGAGTCGACCACCACTGGCAAAGTTGATGTTTCCACCTAGCGGCTGGAGAAAGGGGCAAGTGCTTGTTAACAGCACTACCTTTAAAAGAGTATGGATTATCTTGATGAATAAACAACAGTTCTCAGATGCAATAGCTCTCAGCTACATACCTGGAACTTAAAAGGATGCCCAAAACATGTACGTGTGGAGCAGAAATACTCAGCAAACCATGCGCACATCTGCAAAATTAGGTGCGGAATATGTGTCACTCGCGCCACAACTCGGCGAAGACAACCTTTTTGCAGAACTACTGAGAACTGGTGAAATGCAAGGATGAGCAGAACGGACCCAGAATTTCTTCTTTCCAGTTGAGGGGTCTAGATTATCCAAGGGGAACAGTCCTAGGAGACCTACCCCAGGCTGGACATTCTGCAAAGACGATTTAGGAATGCTTCAGAGAGGGCATTTTTGATGAAGGGTATTCATGCCCAGCCCCCCTCCAACGCCAGCAAACCGATACCAGCAATGTACCTGTCCCCTGTAAATGAGAAAAAGCGATGGTTACAATGCCAGGGTTTCTTGAAGTGGAGTAAGGAAGCTTCACACCTTTAGTGATTACTCGACTTCTGTGAATGGGTGGTGAAGCTGATAGACTGGTCAAGAAGCTGGCCATAAGTGGAGTACAACACTGGCCAAGATACTCAGCACGCCCGTAGGATACATAAGATGCGCCTTCGCTTAGAAATCCTCAGAACACAGTGATTTTATCTCACCGTGGAGACAGGGAGTGGCTGAAAAAACAGGGGTTGATATAAACTGTCTAGATCTTAACTTGGAGCCAACAAGGCCAAGGGTATTTTTAATTGTAAGGGAATTTTTTGAATTCTTAAAGGGTTGAATTTTATATAGGTCATTGCATATTATGTGTATATTGTTTTGAATAATTTTAGCTATTATCCCCAAATATTCTCACCGATTGCCTATTAATAACGCTTAAACTACAAACAAGAGCAACATCTGCTATAAATAGTATTTTTTGCTGTCAATACTTATCTAACAAATTGCGGGCCACGTATAATTGTATATGTATGCATAAATGTAAAGCCTCTAGCAGAAACGTTTCATACTGATGTTTTTAGTTTCTCATTAAGTATAGTTTAAAAATTCATCGAGGTGTTTGGTATTACACGTCCAAATTGAGGTGTTGTGGGATAACAGGCATAAAACTTTAAAGCTAAAGGATTCGATAACGCTGTTTTATGGAATGTGAAGTAGAAGTTTCAACAACACTTAGTCAGGAAATGGACTTAAAGAAAGCATTCTGAAACAATTAGAACTTACCAAATATAAACATAAACTGACGTCAATAAATTAAAAAGAATCATTTACCAGGTGAGGTCTGGTTGGGTAGTTGAAAAAGTTAAGGAGAGAGGGTATTACGACAACAGACAAGTTTCGATCGCTCTCTACATGTACCTCGACGGCATAGAAGTCCTCGATGCATAGAAGTCCTATCGCACACCTCTGGATTGAATGAAACAAGCGTTTCTTGCACCCCTATTCTAGGAGGATTTGATTGATGATGTTATAAGATACTGACTAACTGAGGCATGAGGCTTGTTTGAAGTCTGATGGTGAAGACATTTCTGAATTAGAGGGTTTCCTGAGTTAGGGATTCAGTGTTAAAGATGTGTTCAACGACGACTTGAGAATGTTTACAAGAGAAACGCGCTGGGTTGAAATAGAAACAGAACCTGAATAAATAGGATTATTACAACCAATAATATAAACTCAAATATTATAATCAAGTTCCCAATTAATCCCAAATTTTTAAATATATAATGTAATAATCATTGTAAATATATAGTTTAAAGGAACCGGTGATACTCTACAAATAACATAAATCTTTCTTTCTACAACTAATCTCTTTCTACAAACTCAACCGTCTCAGTGCTACGAATATATAATGATTAGTATTCCCTGGCTAAGTCTAACATTCCCCCCTATTTAAAAAACTTTTGAAAATAGCTCGAAGCTCTTTAAAAACACGTTAAAAACATCTTGACACGTATCACCTAAATTCTAGCAAATTGCTTAAAAGAAACGCGCTGCGCGGTAAAAATATTTCAACTTTTCACAATCCAATATTAGAAAATTGCTAGTCGTTATTACTTCAACAAAGAAAATGTCCCAATCTCTTCAGACAGAAAATTTTGACTGCCATAACATGTCGCAAACGTTGATTAACAATAAAACAACTGTAAATCACTGTAAATAACCAATCCTTTTATCACCGTCATTCATATCGTTAAACTAATATAATCTGTCACAACTCCATGTCACAGTCTCAGTGGTAAACAACATCTATAAGGCGAGACATTACTACAGTCACATAAACCCCACACTAGAACCAGAAACGGTGAAACTACTTGTACTGACAATTACTAAACAATCTAATTCAATGAATGTCATGGTGAAATGTTATGGTAAAATGGAGTGATTTTGCCAACATTATTTCTAATCGAAATTACAATACGGTAAGTAAACTATACTCGTAAGATGAGAAATGAAGTAAGTAAGCTACACAAAACGTGTAAATCACGTAATAAAATCATATTCAATACGTGTAATCACCAAACTATACGTTTATTCAAAACGTGATAGTCAGGGAAAAAAGTAACTAACACTAAAAAACGCGAAAAAAATAATAAATTATTCCAAACAAACAAAGTTAATCTCTCTCCCAGAAACTCTCCTCTCTCGGATCACAGTGCACAACTGCTCGCAGTTTGCATCTATCTTGTTAAACAATCTGGCCAACAAGATTCAGGTAAGGTATCCATGTGAATACTTCATGTCTTGTTGGAAGTGCTTGTTGAAGTTCTGCCTAGTGTCGAGTCCTCAGTCTCTTTTCTTCACACTGCATCGATGTATGAACGTGATCATGTAACTGTTTTAGAATCACGAAACCTTTGATTGGTATGTACTGCACTCCTTCGGATCACCTACAGTAACTCTGACAGTATTTGTCGGCATAGATTTGCAGCTCCCATGGCATCTATGCAAGCTAGAGTTGACGGCTCCACACGCCGAGTGCACGACACTTGTATCTTCCTAGAAACTCCAGTCGAATTAAGTTAGCCGTTTTTTTTTCCGTTAGTTAGAACAACAAGTAACCTCTCCCACTCTGTGTCTGTCTTCCGTTACTCTGTGAACGGACTTCCCAACCAAGCATCAGTGTAGACTGTGATTCGAAATGTTGTCTCTCTGCAGAGCCAAGCCTTTGCGAAACACAGTGATTTTATTGGTCCCCGCGATTTTCCTGAGTAAACGTTGTTCATATCTGGACGGGTTGGCCACTAAGCCACAACATGCGCCCGAGTTGTTTCTGTACACTGTCTTTTCTTCTTCTGTCAGCTTCCGAACGCTGGGGGTTTCGTTCTGTTCCGGTTTGGGGTTTAACCTCCACATCACACCCCTTCCTGATATTCGGCAGGTGGTTTCAATACTCCTCACGAGTCCATTCAATCCGGATTCTTCACGTCTATCTCAAGTTATACTCATTCTTGTTACGGACCATCGATTTTTCCTGCACGACTTGTCACGAGTCCTTTTGTCCAGCTTCGGTTTATAAACTTTATCACTTGTCACTGTATTTGTTAATATCGCTTACAATTACAAAACATGCAAGAACGGCTCCCGCTAAATCGATAGCCAACATTTTTGTAAATCTGAAAGTACTACTACTAGTAGTGACAGTATTATCCAATGCAATTTGGACGCTGATTCCGAATCACTCCCCCATGATGAATGACATATAGGGTCAACTGCATGCAAAGCCGTACAAGGCTGTGGTTATTTTGAGCACGTTTAATGGCTGCAGGTAGCGCAGTTGGTTAGAACGCCATCTTTGCAAATCGTGAGGTTGTGAGTTCGAAACCCACTGTCTCATGGTCGTGGGGTGAGCGTCGTTGACTCAGGATCCTTAATATAAGGATCCTGAGTGGTCTATGCAGCTCCCCGGTCTAATCAGCCAAATACTCAAGAAATCGGGTGTGAGGGTTAAATGAGGAGCTGCACATTGCAGCAAAGTCTCGGGCGAAGAAAGTATGGTACACACTACACAATACTTTAACCGTCACCGGCCAAATAAATCCTTCGGCTTCCTGTAATTGGCTGGTTGCACTTGTGTAACAATGTGGCTGTTGGAATACTGAATACACCGATGTAAAATAAGTATCTTCATGATAAAAAACGGGTGATACTCTTAAAATATTTGTTCCAAATATT